GTCGCATTCGTGCAGTGAAATGTGCGTACGATGAGGCGAGGGTGCGATTCGATTCGGGCAAGCGAGATGGCGCTTGCAAGGGACACATCAATGCGCGGCTCAAAGCTGCAAAGACGGAGACGACTTTGCTCGTCATGTAGACGCGATGCCAGGCCCATCCAAAGGGGCGTGCCTCGATACAGGCACGCCCGGACGGAGCACGAGCACGAGCACGTTTGCGAAAATAAAGGGCTTTTTTGTTGAAAAGCTACGCATGGCTCTGGCAGAGATGCATCCCATGCAGTACGAATCGCACAGCAAGGCTCCATCAATCCTTCTCTTCCGCAACGCAACACTTTAAGGCCCCTCTCCCCGCCACCCGACAATTTTCTGCACAATCTACGAAACGGCAGGGTGTGCTGGGCGCCTACGGCAGAGAGCAATTTTTGAGCGCCCCACCAGTCTTGCGAGTACGCTTTTCTGGATGCGATTGGCCATCATATCCGTCACATGACGTGCGCGCAAGTACCACTCGCCCTGGCAAAGCACGATGCTCGTAGGCTTTTCGAAGCCGCCAACGCGCCACATCAAGATCATCATTCGCCCATATCCTGCTTGTCTCACCCTCGTCTGCTGCCCGTCCACGCTGTCGGACAGCCTGCTGCTCGTTGCATCGCCTCGAGCTTGCTCGTATCGATAATCGCATCCAACTTTAGTGTCTGAAAATGTGTGTATACTTGGACCTCGCCCTGCTCCACCCTGCTAGGGAAAGAAAAAGAGGACGGTCTCGACTTGACGATTTTTCAAGGATGGACAAGGGGAAATGAAGCTTGCAAAGCGGAGAAACCAGAACCCGAATGTCCCCTCCCCCCTTCTCTTTCTCGTTCTCTCCATGTCCCCGGCAATTTCCTTTCTACCATGAGAGTGTCCTAAGCGGTAGTCTTTGAGTTCTCAATAGCCTGCAGACCCTTCTGAGCAAAGAACCTCACATCCGCATCCGAGTCCTCCTTGAGCTTCTCCAAGCCAGGCACGATCCTGCTCGACACTGCTGATCTCCCTCCATCCGTCTGAGACAAGACGCTGGCCAGCACTTCGAAAGCTTTGGCCACGTTGAAACGGATGTTGGGGATCGGATCCTCCACCATGGGAACCACAGCGTCCAGAATCGTATCGTTGATGGCTTCAGCATTGAGCGAAGGCGCCATCGTCTGCCAATCCGAGGCAAAAGACGATCAACAATAGCACATTTCATCCATTTTTCGCCCGCTACTACTCACCGTGATAGCAAAGATGGTCGTCATCCTGTAGAGGTAGTTGGGGTGCACACCCATCTGCAGCACCTTGGGAATGATCGTCTGTCTAGCCCACTCGACCCCAAACACGTCCGTGAGCTTCTTCAAGTTGACAGTGGCCGCTTCTCTGATGCTGAAGACAGTATCTCCGAGCCAAGACATGCACAGATTGGCCAGCTGCTCGTCAAAGAAGCTGACGCCCAATTGGTTTGCGAGGAGAGGAATGTACTCGATGATCGCTTGCCTGACCCGCCATTGCTTGTCCTCTGCCAGCTCGACGATAGCGGGTAACAGGGATTGAGAAAGCAGCTCAATGCCAATGACTGTGGGCATTGCAAATGCGACTGCTTCAGCGCGTGTCTTTCTTCCATAATTGCATCTGGCAACTGGAATAGTACTCACCCTCATTGACTTGCTCCAGCTTGGAGATGATGTTGAGCCGAACATCCGGGAAATCGTCTTTGAGAAGAGACAGGAAGAGAGGCAGCAGATGCTCGATAGTAGCATCCTTGCCAAGCAAAGGCGCCAGACCAGATATCTGCGTAGCAAGCGCAGCTCTGACGTGTTGGCTTTGGTCTGTTGAGAGCTCTCTAACGCAGGGCAGCAATCTGGCGAGGATGATGTCCGTGTCTACCAGCTTGGCAAAGCCTGGTACCTGCCCCGATCCTGCTGTCCGCACCTCTGCTTCATTGTCTTTGAGCAGCGCGACAAAGGCCTGCACCAACTCGTCTCGCACCACATCCTGTCCTACTGCCGTCGCAAGCTGTAGAGGGGGGGCCGGCCGGACACGAAGCACAAGTCAGGCAGCGGCTTCAACTGAAGGGGCGAATTCAATGCCAAACGCACCTTGACAAAGTGATCTGCTACCATGTAGCGTACGCGCCAGCTCTTGTCACCGACGGCTGCCCTGATGCTGGGCAGCAGGTAGCTCTTTGTCTCTTCGTGGGACACGATTTCAGCAATAGCGATGAGGTCTTGCACAGTGAGCAGCCTGACGCTGTCTTGATCATCCGAGGAGAGCTTGCGATAGAGGGGTATAATGTCCGTGACAACTTGCTCCTTTGACAGGCATTTTGCGAAAGGCTGTTGGGAAGGACAGCGCAAGCACGCGTTCAGGGCTCGGCGCACGTGCCATCTAGAGCGACGACATCCGCCTCTTACTCACACCGAGATCCCTCGCAGCAGCTCTGCGAACCATGGGCGTATCATCGTTGCAGAGCGCCGCAAACATTTTTCTCAAATCCTCTTGCGTGCTGGCCACATCTCCGCCCACTTTGGGGTACACGGCCGCAAAGAGGCTCGTGGCGCTCGTGCGGCTGGTGAACCAATCACCTCCGCTCAGACGCCTCAGTAGGGGAAGGTAGTGCTCGTCAATTTGCGCCGGTGTGAGGAGGGCAGCCAGCTTCGTGATGCTTTCGGAAGCCTAAGGTGTGCAGCACTACAAATGTCAGTCCACAGATCAGGCCTCCTGACTCTGAATCCTTTCACCCACGCACCTTCTCGCGAACGACGGTCTCCTCCACCGCGGCCAAGTTCTCCAGGGGTCCAAGAAGCAAGTGCGCGTAAGGTGGTCCTCCCAGGTGCTCAGCAAAGCTTGGCCCAAGCTCCTCCGCGAGGGCGAGCAGGACCTCATCCTCGTCATCCAGGCTGTCTTGCAAGAAGGGCACCAGCTCATCTCGAGCACGCTGAGGACCGAGAGCCAAGGCTATGGTGGAGATCCGATGAATCGCATTGAGACGCAACGTCACATCATCGCTCTTTAGCTCATCTATCAAGATGGCGATGGGGTAAAGGGACTCGTCTGACTCCATCGTGTAATGTTGAAAAGCACTTTTCAGAGTCGAATCGATAGGTCGAGAGTTCGTTCCTCTCAATGCTGGAGTGTGAGCAGGTGCTGAAAGCTCTTCCGAGCTTGTATGCGTCACAAAGGTACTGTATCAGCTCCTTGATGGACCCTGCTGTCGAAGAAGGCGGATGGAGAGTGGGTCTGTCTCGTAGTTGAGGGATGTTTTGATCTACGTGAGACACAGCGCTGGCAGAAGCAGCACAGTAGCATACGCTTTGATCTCTGCAAAGAACTTCTCGATGGACTGTTGTGAATATCGAGGAAGCTTCTACGAGTAGATGGAGGTGGTCGGGTGTACACGCTGCTGTGAGCAGATCGAGCTTCAAGCCGAATCTCGAACGCTGCATCACTCAAACTCGTGACTCCACGGCCATGGCGCGTGACTGCATGGGCGATGGATGGCCTCTGCGCTGCCCGGCTGGGTGCCCGCTTGCCCGCTTGCCTGCTTGCCTGCCGCTGCCAACCTGCCAACCTGCCCGCCTAGCCCGGCGCTTCTCCTTGCGTTGCTTGACGCGCGCGTCAACAACATGCGCAAATTAAGCGGCACGTCCGCGCTCAATGGCTCAGGTTGGAGTCAGGCGTCAGCAGCAGCAGCATCTATACGCTGCAGCAGGGAGCCAGCAGCGCCATCCATGCACGCCACGCGGGCTGTGCCCCATGTTGCGCGCCTGCGACACCTTGCAGCAGCAGGGTTTTCCATCGGACCATCAGTCAGTCGCCCGCGCGCGCCGCCCCGCCGCGCGTTATTGTGGCTGTATTCCTTGCGTATATAGGTGCTTCAATCAAATAATGAATCAGCGCTTTGCACAGATCCTCTCACTCTTGACTCATCAGTCACGAATGCCGCGGTTATCTGCCAACATCAGAGTCCCACTTGTCAATGTGAATGGTACTACTGCAACTTGAGTGACCTCACGAGGTCTGAGCACACCTCGTTAGCCATTTGGATTGGAAGGCTTAGCGGCCCGGAGAGCGCCTGAGCCGACGATCAAGACGCCGCCAAAGTTCGACCCAAAACTTGACGCAAGACTCACAAGACTTTGAGGGTGCTGGCAGTTCAGATCACGTGATACCAGTAACACGTGACTTAAATCCTGGTTGATGGTCCCACCGATCTTGAATCGCGCGTCGGCGCGTGAGTCCACCGCCCTCGGCGTCATCATGGCGGAAGCCTCGGGCTTTCGAGCGTGGGGTGGGGTAAGGCTAGGATGGCCGGCCGGTGGGTGATGAAGTCGTGAGTGTGAGTCGTGAGTGTGAGTTGCGAGTCGCGAGTCGCGGCAGCCGGTTCTCGGACACGCTCTCACCGGCGTGTGGGACACTCGATCGATCGATGCTTATGGTTGCGCTTGCACAGTTGCGCAGTCGCGGGCGGGTATTCACATTCACTGATTCGTGATTCAGTAGTGACTGGAAGAGGATGAGGAGGGTGGCAAGTGCTCGGATCGTCACGCTGATGAGTGAGTGAGTAGGCGACGCTTGACTTGCTTCATCTCCCTCATACCATCGCTGAGTGGCACAGTTCTTCATTGCACACAGCCATCCTTTTCTCTTCACCCTTCAACAACAGCGCACGTTGATCGACCATGTCGGACATCCAAGCACGGTCCAGCCGGATCCTCTCCCACCTCAACAAGGATCACAAGGATTCCTTGCGAGCCATTGTCGCCAAAGCCGAAGGATCGGTCATCTTGCCATACGACGTCAAGGCCACATCCATCGATGCCAAGGGCTTCACAGCAGAGTATTACATCCATCAATCGCTCGGCAGCAAGCCTCGTCGTCAAGTCGTAAAGGTGGACTTTCCCAAGCCTTTGGAAAAGGCGGATGAAGCGAGACACGTCTTTGTCAAGCTCAGTGATGAGGCATCTGGGCTCTGGGTGAGTGAAGGGAGGAGCAGCGAGCTGACCATTGATGGTAAAAGCGCCTGAATTTAGTCAAGCTGAGTCGAGGTGCATGCAGGCTGACTGAGGACCAAGCCTTTGACTACGCACACACAGTACCCAGTCCGATTCTCCGCTCATCCTCTGCTACCGGGAGCTGCACTGATCGCAAGTCTGCTCTACCTAGCATCCAAAGCCTACGACATTCCCGCCGCTCAGATCACCTTTTTGCCCATCCTGCAAAAGTATCCAGACGCTCCGGAAATCGCAGAAAAGATCTTCAAGACTCTGGCTGGCGTGCACACCGTCGAAGCGGTGCTCATGCTACTGTACGTGCTCAGAAAGGGCGGCAGTCTTGCTGTTGCTGTGAGTGATTTCGACAGGCGTTGCTTTTGAGGATTTGCATTGACGATGTAGCTCACCATTCTGCTCGCGCGAACGATTTGCAGATCAAGTGGGCCGTTCAACAACTCTTCGTCGGCTTCCCCAACTTCTTCGGATTCCAGAGTGAGTTTAGCCATCAAGTTAAAGGCTTTCAAATAAAGCAGAGATGTGCTCAATGTTCTGACCTGCACCACACCCAGAGATCAACCCTACTGGCCCGAAGGACAAGAACCCTGCGAAGCTCTTGTAATGTCCCATCTCGCATCTCGAGTTATTGTCTGCTCCTCTAGCAATGCATGCCTGCGCAGCTGTGGTGTACAATGTGAGGGTACAAATACACGTTCGGAAAGAGTGGTCGAACAGAGGTTACAGATTTCGCGCACTCTTCTGAGCGCCCGGTTCAGCGCTGGTTTAGAAGCCGGCAAGCCAGCGCTTGTATGCGCGGAGCTTGTTCTCGCTAGCAGGAAGGGAGGCAGCTCCGCTTTTCAACATGGAGGCGGTAGTAGCATAAGCGGCTAGGGCAGGCTCCACGCTCTGCAAGAGCTCCTCGTCGGAGGCGTGATATCCGAGCGCGTTGGACGCGTGCCCATTTGCTGCTTCACTGCACGTCCTGATGCTCGAGAAGCGCGCGACGGCTTCAGTATCGCCGTTGGCCAATTGCGCTTGAGCCACATAGATTTCTGCGTCTTCGTCGGCGATGCGAGTCGAAGGACTGGCAGCAAGATCACAAAGCTCGCGATATTGCTCTAGCCAATTCGCGTACTCGTTCGCCTCGTCTGCCGGTACCTCGGGTGCGATCAGAGCCGAAACGAGGGTTCGAAGTGCCGTAGCTGATGGTGTGGCGCCGAGGACGGCCTGAGATTGTGGATCTCCCCAGATTGGCCAAGCATCTTTCTCCGAGATCGTAAGAGCTTCCTTGGACTCGCTCGTCGAGGCGTGCCCCCAGCCAGTGCCACCAGCTCCTCGAGCACCTGATCGTCGCCCTTTCATTCTCGAGGCCTTTTGAGAGGTGCTGGAGCTCGCATGGTCACCTCTATTCAGACTCATCCATCGTCTCACCCCACCCATGAGGGCCCGCGGCTGCGAATCTGCTGCTATCCCAGACGTCGAGAGCTGACTTGCGCGGTCGGTCCGCGCAGGCGAAGCAGGAACAGTGGTGCCTGAACCGATGCGAGCAGTGAACGGGCTGATCAACGTGAAAGAGGAATCGTTTTCCATCAAAGGAACAGCAGACCGAAGCGCAGACTGAGTGTCCGCGAGCGAACCAAGGCTGACGCTCCTGTTGCTCGTCGAGTTTGTGGAACTCTTTCGTCCGTGTCCCGACGCACCCTGAGCAAACCTAGAAGCCTGAACGTACGCTGCCGTCGAAGGGATGTTTGAACCTGATACGAGGCTTTGATTCACGGCAGTCATCTTGAATGCGTAGTGCCGCAGTAGATCGGTGAAAAGGCTGGGTCTATAGTACTCTGCCCAGAAGCCAAGGTCCGAAGTGGCCACCTCAGCAAGCCGTCTTTCGTACTGTGCGAGTGACGCTCTTGGTTTGAGGTTCTGGGAAGTGTACCATTGCTGGTACGATCGTCTCGGAGGGCGTCGAGATAACGATTGAGGTATCGACGAAGCGGCCTTAGCAACCCTGCTGGTCTCCTCGTGCTCAGGTTCCACGCCCAAGAAAAGGTTGATTGCAGCTTGCTTATCCGCGTCAGCAAAAGAGTTGGCATAGTATCGTTTGAGTCCCTCGAGCATATCTCGCGAGTGTGAAGTCCATTGGTTAAGTTTTCGATACGTCTCCATGGTGTTGACCAGGTGACTGCCTCCATATTGAAGGGCGATTGTATCACCCAAGTCGTGATACATCTCCGTCAGCATGTCCACCGCATCGCTGTCGAAAGGTAGACTTGGGTGGTCCAGTAAGCCAAGTGCATGGAGCTGGTGACCGAGCGCCGCTTTGCCAATGACGAACTGCGCTGCATTCGTGCGATCGAGACAGTCAACGCAGTTCACTCTCGCTACTCCATGCTGCAGCAACAGACTTTCTCTCCTGGGTCCGGCAGAGTCGAGCCCTCTTCCTGCTCCAACTTCAAAAGCATAAGGCTCCGGTCCAGAGTGGAAGAATCTTGTGCTTTCAACAGTGTCCTCCGCGATGTCCTCGAGCACCCCAATGACATCTTGATCCTGGCTCTTGCTCGCGCGGCTCATGTCCCATGCGATGTACTTGATCTGCTTATCATCTGGCAAGAATTGGTTCAGGTACGAGACACATTCGCTGAAAGCTTGCAGCAGCTTCATTTCTCGTGGCTGTTTCTCTTTGGACTTGATTAGGTTGAGTACGATGAGCGGAAACCCGTACCGGCGCAGCATGTCGTCAAAGTGCAGCGCTGCAGAGCTGAAATATGGGTCTACGACCGAGATCTCGATTGGAGGTCTAGGAGACATGTTCGTCGAATCTTGCGTCCAATAGATGGGAATGCTGCCTCGATGCATGACGTAGGAGGTGAATCTCGGATTTGCACCCCACGTCCCCTTGCTGTGATTGGCGTCCGAAGCTTTGGGAGCGTAGAATGGCGTAGTGAGGCCTTCCGCGACAATTTGCTCGGTCTCGACATCATTTGCAACGTGTCCATGCTCGTCGGTACCCCTCTTGAGGAATCTAGCTCCAGCAAAGTGCCTTGACCTGCGGGCAAGAAGTGTGATGTGTATGGTTCGGTTGATGACGCCCAACTTGGCCTGTTCAACAAAGCCATACACCAAAGGCAAGACCCATTCAGCAGCTGCCGCATCCGCATCCTCCTCCGCGCGCGGTATTTGCGCACTCGGTCCCGCACTGCGAGATGGGAGGTGAATGGACCTTCCAAAAGCGGGCAAGAGCAAATGATGATTCCAGACGAACTTTTCATTGTGACCCCACGCAGTTGTCGAAGGGAGTCCGGCTCCGCCCACCTCCGCCTTGACGTCTCTGATCCCCGTCAAGTTATCCTGCAAAGTCTTCGTTAGATCGTAGGTGTAGGAAAAGTAAAAGTTCTTGGTGAGGTCGACTTGCTTGAAAGTGTGGATCAGACGGGCTTCTTCCGCATCTTTCGCCTTGGACCTCCCAGGCAGATTAGCAAGAACACTTGCATGGCAGACGGAGATCATCTTGTAGTCATCTACATGATAGACGTAGTGACCCCCAATGAGCGCCACTACGGACCGAGCCGAGATGAGCACCATGTGATAACCCATCGTGAAACGTATGAAACCCACAATCCCATAGAACCTTCCCACCTCCTTCAGACCGCCAGAAGAGCGGTTGCCCTCATTGATCATATCCAACAATTCCGTCACTTGCTGCCGCGAGTACACGACTCGGTCAGACGTGATGTTGAGCTCCCATCTTTGATCAGGAGGAGGAGCAGAGACACCGGGGTTCTGCGACTGATCTTGCTGCACCTGAGGTTGAGAAGAGCTGCTTGGCATCCCGCTGCCTCCTTCTTTGGAGGCTGACGCAGGGTCGTCTGATGCAGCGCTTCGCTCTCTATTCTTCGAAGAGGGAGCCGTCCGATCGATCTTGAGTATGCGAAAGCGTGTCTGAGAAGTATTGAACGCGACCAGGTAAAATCGCTGCCGTACATTACCCAGGCACACACGGGGGGGCTCGATGTTAGCAAAGCCTTCTGCATGCTAATTTGGGGTAAAGTACAGACTTTCACTCACAGTTCTGGTCTCCCACAAGGTGAAGCGTTTGAGCTCTCCCATTCTGCCAGTCTCGTGCTGAGACTGGGGAGCTAGGCCAGCACTCAATTTCTTGTTCTGCTCTGCTCGACTCTGAGGCACGGCAGGAGAAGTTGCAGCTCTCTTGACCGCAGGCGGAGATTCGTTCGGTCTTGCACTGGTGGGTATTCCAAGCCCTATGAGAGCATAAGCAGCGCCCGTATCGGATGGCAGCTCAGACTCTCGCAGTTTGGGAGTCGATGCGGGCTCAGTGGGTGAGGCTGGTGCTGACACCGTTGTGGGTGCTCTTTCCGAGATGGCCTGTACCTGTTCGACCTCGTGATCAGGATGAGACAGTGGAGCCTGCATCGCGCCTAGCAGGTCAGGCTGACTAGCACTTCGAGCAGCGTCTCGCCCGGTGGAGGCATCCTGCTCTGTGCCACTGTACTGAACGTTCCCCACCTGTGCCTTGCCGCCGTGAGCGCTTACTGCTTCAAGTTCGGTCATAGCGCACTTATCAGCATGATCTTCCCTAGCAGAGCAAAATTGTGAGAAGTGCTGATCACAAGCGTGTGACCTCGTCGCACGGCTTCACGTTCAGCTGGCCGTGTGCGTTTTGAGTGCTCCTCAGTTGCTGGATGAGCGGGCGCTGAGCTCCAATCGACCAGTCAAGGCTCGTCTGCGACCGACCTCACTCTGCCTTAGCTCTCAAAGTGCTTATTAGTGAAGGGGGTTGGTTGTGTTGATTCATCAGAGGTCGTGAAGATGGTGAACGCAAAGTTGGAACAGGATGGTCGTTCATCCATTCGTGATTCGTGACTCAAGACTCACGACTGACATTCACATTCAGATTGATGAGGCTCATGCATGTGTATAAGCGCGCAGTCCCACGCCCGCACCGCCTCGACCGCTCGACGCGTATCCCCACCGGTCTCAGCAAAGCAACACCATCCAGCATCGCCGGCCCTTGTATCGAGCTGCGCTTGCTCCACTCATCTTTTTTCTCCTTGAAGTTTGGAAGCTTACCCGGCCGTCATCACCACTTTCGCATCTTCTGACGCATACATCTCAAGCGGCGCCTCTGACACTCGAACCACTCAGTGTGATCCTTCGATATGGACCTGCGCCCACCAAGTCGAGAAGGTCTGGCCCGAGGAGCGACCCGATCCGCAAGTCGAGCCGCGCCTTCTTCCACCCTACCACGGCCGTCGAGCGCAAGTAGGGGCTCCACCGCTGCAGGCAATGTTGGTGCTGCTTCCCGCTTCGGCTTCTCTGGTGCAGGTGGTGCTCTACCACCCGGCGGCGCGGGCAGAGTGACCAGATCGGGAGGTCTGTCTTCCAAGAGGGACGCGGAGAGCGCTGGATTAGAAGATGCAGCTGGTGAGTGCATCAAGGAGTCTTCACTGAGACTGTTTCAGAGACATAACAGATCCTTCATGTGATGCTGTGGACAGGTCCGAGTCGAAAACCGGCGGCCGCTCGCACTTCGGTGCTCAGATCTTCAGTGTCCGCATCCAACAATCCTTTAAGTGCCTCCACAGGTCCTTCTTCGAGCATTCCTCCATCCCCTGCCAAAATCCTCGAGTCAGAAATAGTCAAAACGGAGCTGGAAAGGCAGAGGCTGCTGCACAATCAGTCTTACGAGAAGCTTGAAGCGCTCTTTGTAGAAAAGGATCTGGAGGTGCAAAAGCTTCAAAGGGAAAAGGTGGAGATCTTCAGGAATTGGGAGGATCAGGTGGAGGAGCATAAAGGCAAAGAGAGCGCTTGGAAAGAGACCAAGGTGAGCATCGGTGTGAGCTCTTTCGATACGCACGCCGACACCTTATACTGTCTGGCAGGCGAGATTGGAGCAGGAAGTCTCGACGTCGAGAAAGAGCGGGACGGCCGCGTCGAATGACCTCGCGCTGCTGCAGACGAGGCACGATAGCCTTGCGCAGCAATCAAGGACAGAGGTGTCCCAGCTGAAGCAGAGACTCATCGCGGCTGAAGGGGAAAATGCAGAGGCGAAAGAGCTCTGGAAACTGGAAAGAGCGGAGAAGGAACGGCTTACGCAAGAGTGGCAGAAGGAAAAGGAAGCGTTGGTCCGTGGAAAGCAAGCGGAAGCGACGAATCGAGGAGAGGATCGAGGATTGGCTGATGAGCTGCACAAACAAGTCAGCCACGTCAGACAGCTGGAGTCCACTAATTTGCACTTGGAAAACGAAAACAAGAGGTTCAGGAGCAATCAAGCTTCCATCGAGGTGCTGCGTGAGGAGAAGCGTGCGCTGGAAGGACGTCTTGCTAGGTTGCAAGACACGGACAAACGCCTCGCCGAAGCGGAAGTGCGAGTGATGCAGCTCGAAGATGAGAAGGAGAATTGGTAAGTGCGAAGGCTTCGAACACGCGCTACTTGTGCTGACAGAGATGGAGTCGCCTTCAACTTTCAGGTCGAAAGAGCTCAAAGAAGGTTCTGTCGAAGCATACACGAAGGCATACATGCTAGCGAGCGATGCGACGCCCAGCTCGAGTTTGCCCACGATCGATGCCCCGCCATCCCTCACACCTTCTAACTTTTCAGACTTTATCGCGACGCTCCGAGGCTCATGCGAAGGATTCAAGCAGAGACTCGTTCATGTCCTGTCAAAGTTTGAAGCGGCTCAAATCACTTCCTTGGAAGCTCAGAAAGAGGCGGAAAGCTTGAGAGGGGATTTTGAGAGACTCAGGGAAGAAAAGGCTGCTCTCAGCTTGGCCAAGCTGCGCGCCGAAAAGATGGAGCAGAGTGCTCAGGAGGAAGTGAAGCGTCACAAGGCTATCTTTGTGAGTGTAGATCAGCAAATGATCTTTGCTATCTACCTAATTCATCAACGAAATTCATCGCCTCTCTCTACTTTGATCTGCAGGACACGTATGAGATGGAAGCTGCCAATCACTCGGCTACGTACGACCGTGGCAACGCTGAGCTCGTGTCGGAGCTCGAGGCGGCTGTGCAAAGACTTCAGACGGAATGCAGCGAGCTCAGTGCTGAGCTTGAAGCAGCTAGAGCACAGGGTCTTGCTGCATCCAGTCGAGCTGTTCCCGAAGACAGCAAAGAGCGCGAGCTGGCTCAAGCGCAACTGCAGCAAGTGCGCCAAGGTGAGTCCTTGTCCGGCTTTCCGGCGTGCGGTGAGCGTCGTCAACTCATACAAGCGACAACCATGGGGAAAATGCAGAATTGGAGCAAGGACAAGCGGCATTCAGTCAGCTTGAGAAGGAGTGCGAACGTCTGGGCAAGGAGAACGATGATATTTGGAGACGTTACATGGGAGGAGAACATGCCAAGACGCTTCGAGTGCTCGAAATGCCAGCTAATCCAGCTGCTCAGAAGATGGACTTGAGTCGCAAACGGATCGAAGCGCTGCAGAGCGAGAACGAGAAGCTGCTGGGCCGCGTGGCGCAGTTAGAGCGGCTCGAAGGTAACAGTGCGCAGCAGGGCGATGCTGCTTCTGTTACGGCAGCTGAGACGATGACGATTGTCAAGGAGCTCAAGTCATCTATCGAGGCCAAGGATAAAGCTCTACTTCGATTGCGTCAGGTCTGTAGCACGAACAGCATGCTATCGCAGCTTCGTGAAGCGCTCAAAGACTGACAGTCACCTTGTGCGCGCACTCGCAGACCTTCAGCGCCAAAGCGCGAGAGTATCGACAAGTTTTCGAAGCGCTCTTCGGGTACAAGTGCAAATGGGAGATGGACGGCCGGGTCAAGTTGACTTCCAGCTTTGCAAGGTCTAAACACGGAACGACTTTGATCTTTAGATCGGAGGCTAACAATGTAGGCGAGATGAAGGTGACGGGCGAAGCGCTGAGAGGCATGGCCGATGTGGATAGCTTGAGGAGGTATTGGCTGGAGGGGCAGTATAATAGCGTGCCGTGCTTCTTGGCAGCGCTCAACATTTCGTGAGTATGCGGTGACACTTGCGCGATGCATACATTATTGGTTGAGCTTACACGGCATGGCTGGTGGCAGACTTTTCGAAAACACCACGCGCGCGCAACTTGGCGGATGGGCGCCTGATCCGGCAGAAGCTCAAGAGGAGGAGGAATCATGAGTGAAAGACTAGTTGCACAACAATAGTGGAATTACATATCGGGTTCAAGAATGTCTTGCCCACTTTAGCCTTCAGTGCCTGACAGGAAGCGTAAAACGAGGTCTCGCCATGCACAGCTGTGGCCAGGGAGATCGAGGCATCTATCTCGATCTTGAATTCACGTGATTGCGACTGAAGCAACTGCCAGACTGGGTCACCAACACCACTCGTGCATGGCTGTATCAGAAGCTCCTCAAGCATAAGAGTCGCCGCGGGACTTATTAGAGAGGTCAATAAGCTGCAAGAGCCATGCAAGAGCAGCTGCGCCCGGCATGCGCTGCCATATGCATCACTTCTTTCAGAGTCATGTGAGTCATGTCTCACTCTGGCTGCGTCTGCATCGAATGCGTCCTCAATCACGCATGCTGACGATTGCCATGGCAGCAGGTCAAAGCATCAGGTCAAAGCAGGTCAAGAGCGCATATGGTGTTATATTGTGATCGCCATCTGCACGATAACGTGTGCATCTGCGCGTTGATGAAGACTGTCTCTCACGGAACAAATGAGTCGAGGACCATATATGCAACACAACGCCACTCGAGTCCATCATCTCGACTGCCATATATATATTTGATTGGTCTGCAAGTCAAGAGTCAAAAGTGTAAATAAGTGCTATAGGTCAGAAAGACAAACCGCTATAGGTCAGTCTGAAACAAATGTGGCGAGTCATGCTGCATGCACCCACGACTCGAGACGGACTACATACATGCTGCTGCTCTGCCTGAAGCCGCGCGCCTGGGATGGGTTACTTTGTCGTCAAAAGGTAAATTTGAGCAGACGGCTGCCGCGTGGTATTTTCGTGCTGATTTGCCTCACGTACATTCAAAATTCACCATTGACATTCAAGATTCTTGATTCACGATCTTGGTCAAGCATCTTGCACAATCATCGGAATTCTGGATAAGAGATTCATCATCAATGCCAAGATACTCTGCATGCAGATCACTATGCACGCACGACCAGAGCTTGCACAACAAACGAATATACAATCTCAATGGCGAAGGTAGCAATCAAGATTTTTGATTCTGAATCGTATTCAAGATTCTTGGGTACCGTTGGCGTCTCCGTTCAGCATCGCACGTACGCTCCCCAATCAAATCTGATGCGCTCTTACGTCCCTGGTCGACTTGGAACGCGCCAGGCTTGATAAGCTGTTCATCTTTTGATCCACGCATCCTGAAAGGCTAACCGCACGTGGTTGAGCGTTGGGACTGCCTCCGGGTCCAGCGAGCTTTCTCGCAGCTCGACTCTTGCTCCCCAATTCCAACGACTATCCAGCCCGACCCTTGCCCTCACCCATATTGAACCCTGTGCATAGGGAAACCGAATCAGCTGGCATTCACGAGTAGTACATGAAGGCGATCGATCATGAAGCACGAGGAGTACGAAGTCTACGTGGTGGTCGATGAATGTCCCTTAGAAGAGTTCAACGTGGACAAGAAGTACGACGCTGCCAGCAATACTTGGACGTACACTGGCGAGATTGCCTATACACACAACAAGAATTTTGAGTTCCAGATGCTTTACACTGCGCAAAAGCAGGGTCATGGCGTGGTGTATCACGCGCATGTCGATGGTCAAGCGGCAGATGAACTCCTCGCTATAGCGCAATTCGATAGATGGAAGCGCATCGAAGGATTTCGGCAGTCCGGCTCCATACGACCTTTCCGTTGGACTCGTCTCGCACGAAGACAAGGTGAGCGTGTGGCACTGCAGCAGTCCGTCAAAGTACGACGGTTCGCGCATCAGCTCACTGCCGACTATCTTGCCCTACCCAATTTTAGACACGCCAGTCTCTCCAGACCCGGAGACTCCGTCGGATGTAGGCACGTTATCCGTGCTGCTAGAACCCCTCAGCGCGATTGCGTCTCCACAGGCAAGCCGTTCACCGTGTATTCGGACAAGCCGTTCAACCCCGCTAGTCGCAGCCCCTCCTCCAAAGCCATCAAACCTGCTCTTGTGACTTGCGATGACCCCAAACCATCATACTGCATCGAGGCCTCTAGCTGTCCTGATCCATCACGACCTCGTGTGGTGATGAGATGGACATACATGCTCAGAGATCTGATCGTGGACAAGCGCCTACAGGGCTTGCACACTGCCGGAGTAGGTGGCTTTCGCATTGCGAGCCAAGCCAGAGTGCTCTCAAGGGCTGACGCACAAACTCGACTGTACGTCTGCCTGTTGCCGAGCATCCTAGCAAAAACGCAAGCGGGACATCAATGACGTAAGTGTGCGGCCCGGTTCAGACAATCGGGTAGGCTATCTTTCAATTCACTCATGCTACCCCCTTCGCTCTGTAGGAAACCGAGCGCTTGCAAGCCAGACTTCTACAACTCAAGCAAGAGCTCGAAGAGCTCGAGCCTTCGGGATCCCGCGTCAAAAAAGAGAAGAATACTGGGAACCTTTCTCGAGCCAGCACTTCGAGCATTCAAAGTGTCCCACCCCCAGAGCGTACCGGCGAGCGGTTGTCAATCGATCTGACTGGAGGCGACGAAGAAGACTGAAAACGGTCGTTGACATTGGGGGACTGCTGAATTGTCGAAACCAATACCTGAAGCACTTGGTCGCAAGACAAAGTAGCCTCAAGGGATCTCTGAGACTATAGATAGAGAGGAAGCGCAATTGCGAGCTGCCAGTAAGGATACTCTGCCACCGCAACGCAGAGTGCTCATCGATGTTCGGTATCCTCGAGTCAAATCTTGCCTTTTCGCCATGTGTCTCGGCGCCCAAAACTTCTACTAGCTTCTAAGCGGCTCTCCGTCGCGCACACAGCTGCTCAAATGTCGCCGACCCCCCACAACAAGTCGGTCCCTTTAGTCCGACCCTAATCCATCACAGCTCTGCCCAGGACGGGGGACTTCAGCACATCGGTGCAACGCAGCACGCTCCGAGCCATCCATGCGCTTGACTCTCTCAAGCATCTTTCTCGATCAAAGTATGCTCTTGGTGATTTCGCTCCCGTGCACTTGTCTTTCTCTCCATGTCATACAACGACTCCGCTTCTGAGTGATGAGATCAAGAAGAGAGCTTCATTGAATGTGTATGCGCCTTCAATCGATGTTACTTCTGACTCAAGAACGAAGCTGCATGCTGTTCTATACGGTGTAGGAAGGGGCTCGATGTGATCACGTGGCGGTCCTGCGAGCGTGGTTTCTCGTGTAGGCGCCTCCCCGCACTCACGACTCATGCATGCAGCAGCAGCTAAGGGAAAACGTGAATTAAGCGCGCGCGCATGAACACGACGCGCCGCGGGACGTGGGCGTACTCGTGACTTTGGACTGATAAGCTCAAGACTTGTGCATGTTACTTACACCGCACGACCCTCACATCCACACACATAAATTCATCCACGCACAGAATTCCATCCACACACATAGACCCATCCACGCACACAAGTGCACCCACACACATAGACACATCCACACAAAAATCCATCCATCAGCCAAGAGAATCCATCCGCCCTCTTCTGTCTCCTTATTTGAACAGCTTGTACACAAGATCTGGCACTCGTGGGCCGTGAAAGGCTCTGAGTATAGGAAGCTCTCCCTTTGCGCCCTGCAGAGTGGCCAGGTGACTCGCACACGCCGTGCATAACCCATCCTGCGTCAGTCAGCATCATGAAGTACGAAGAGCATCAAGCGAGTGTGATGGTGGATGGGAAGGCGCTGGAAGAGTTCAATGTGGAGCATACCTATGATAAGAACACAAATACGCACACGTGCACTGCCGAGATCGCTTACACTCACAATGCGAACTTCAGCGTACGCCAAACCTATTTTCGGAAAAGGAAGGGCGAGGCTGTCACTGTGAATTTGCGTGTCGATGGCCAGTTTGCGAACAACTACATCTGCATCGGAAAATCAGACCAAGATGAAAAGTTCCAGGGGTCGTTCAAGGGATTTCGTACCGCCAATCATGGTTACAAGCCGTTCAGGTGGTCTCGCTTGGCACACCGAGCGGGTGAGCACTTTCTGCGAGAGCCGCTGTCTAGCGGCATTGCTGAGTGATTGGCTCATTCTGCACCACATTCCTCGTTATTTCTCAGATATTGATGACGAAAAGTCCTCGACATCGTCACTTCCCCCCGAAGCAGGGACCATCAAACTCCACATCGACCCGCGAAAAAATGTCAAGGAGCAACCGCTAAACGCAAATACCTCCGACGGCCCACTGAATGCGAATCGCCTACGACCTTCCAAGGGCATGATCAAACCGGCGCTTGTCGTAGCCGATGCAGAAGTCGCGCAGAAACCTCCGACATGCTCTTGCTCGAGCGACCACGACAAATCTCGCCCTGTCGTCATCATGATTTGGAAGTACATGTTACGTGATCTCATAGTCGATCGATCGCAAGGCAGTCCATCAGCAACATTGGGCGCTCCCTCAAGCTCATCGGCCTCCAACTCCACAGGAAGCAATGCTCAGGTACGTGGCACCTCAAGGGCACAAGCCGTCGAGTAGCTCCGTCGTCTTTCGGTTGACCTCGCCCTTCTTGCATGCTGGCGCTCTATCAGTCTCCGGCCAAGCGCAAACGCGAACTGGATGAGGTAAGCATGGCAGCGAGGTTCAGGAAGAGAGAAGCCTCACTTACCTCTCTTTTGTGCACTATTCTCTATCTCTAGGAAGCTGAACAGCTTCAAAGCCGCTGGGCAGCCATCAAGCAAGAGCGTTTACAGCTGCGCGAGACTACTGCTAATGTGAAGCCAGAGCCCAAAGACCGCGTGCGTTCCAGAGCGGGTAGCAACGCCAGCGTGCAGAGCGTTCCGGCACCAGTCAGAGAGCGCACTGGCCAAAGCATCTCCATTGATCTTACCGAGCTTGACGACGATGACGAGTGAAAGTACCCGAAGATTTCAGCTGTCCACTCGGCCTGAAGCCGATACGTGAGCGAATTTGACTTCGTCAGTAGCAGCGGGTCTGATGCTAACGATTGCATTCTCATCCTGCTATCACACCACGTGCATTTTGAAGTTCGATACGGCTCAACGAGTTGCGTCATGGTCTGAAGCAGTTCTCATCGTCGTCACCAAGAATGTCCTCCCAGCAATTTTCCCCAATGTCCTCAAACATCGATCAATCAGCAACTCAACACCTCACTTCGGCCCAGCCACAATTCACATTCTCTCTTCCCATCATCAGTCACCTTTTGTCAACCAGAGTCGTGCTAGTCGGGCCGCCAATTACATTCGCTTTCAAGTCCAAATTCTCATTTCGTAACGTGATCTGCCGGGTACAGCTCGTGACACTTAGAAGGGGACAATTGGGACGCTGAAAAGAGTGCCGTGCTTTGGGCGCCGATTCGACGAGAGAGCAGGTGACGCGCGGACATTTACTCAGGCAGATACAGATGCGTTGGCGTTGCTGCTTGGTTTGACGCCTCTGAATTTCCGAACCACCTTTGCCAGTCTTCCCTCCTTCCAAGCGGCATAGCCAAGATAAGCGGTGATGGCGAGCCAATAGAACACATAAGCCAGTACCGAGCCGATTGTTGCAGTGTTGTTCCAACCGACCAGACTGTTGAGGATACCCCACCCACCGGAAGAAGTCGTGTCTTCAGGGTTGCAGCAGTCCAGATGCCAGACGTAGTCCTTGTAGTAGTATGAACCTGGACCGCTACCTGATTCGGCTGCTGCGTCACCTACCAGCTTGACGTAGCGGTAGAATTGGAGGTAGTAGACTGCTCGGGATGCCATACCTGCTGCGATGATGAGGAGGGCGACGGTGGAGAGGATCAAAAAGCTGGGTGGGAAACATGGGTTCAGCGTGGGTGCGCTAGAGCAATGAACATTGGCCCCGTGGGGAGACTCACAACCGGACTTGTTTGCCTACGGAACCAGCGCGGAATACGATGGCGCCTACCAGTAGACCTGCTGCGATACCTACAACAGCAGGCAGCGGGATGCTAGTGGCCGGCAGACCAAGAGAAACGCCTCCTATGAAGACGACACCTTCAAGGCCCTCTCTTAATGTGGTGACTAGAGGGATGAAGAAGAGAGCCAGGGCGCCCTTCTTGCCTTGGCGAAGTGGTTGAAGCGCGGATTTGAACTTGGTCGCAAAGCCCTTGCTGCGATGCTGAGAGTCATCGACGGATTGTCCGGATACTTGAGGCAAGGTGGAAATCTCTTGAGGTTGCTCCAAATTCTTTTCGGCCTCACTAGCGGGGGATTTGCCCTCCGATTCCTCCTCGCTGCCAGCTCTTGGGCTCGATTGGCTACCTGCACCGTGCTTGTCCGCTCTCACATCCGCAAACGCGTTTCTCAGCTTGCGTCTCCACTTTGCTCTGGAACGATCTGCCCTCAGGATGGCTAGACTCATGGGAGTGATGAGAAGCACGGCGATAAGGTTGAATATGCCTTCCCACAGCTCTTCGGCTTTGCCATACAGATCGTTGGCTTGAGTGTAGAAGACGGCAAGGAAGGCGGCTCCGATGCAGAAAGCGATGAACAGACCGGAGAGGGCGCCGAGGATGACCTGCAGCAGGGAAGCAAGATGAGGTGGAATGCACCCCGAGCACAAAAGTCAGCTAGGTGGTCCGCAGGAGAGATGTGGGCGGTGAGCACGACTTACGATCCATCGCAGCTTCGTCACGAGTGCTTTGCTCTCGTCTTGCGACCTGCCCGTAGCATTTGCCGCATCGCTCTCTTCTCCATCCGAGCTCTTGTCATTGGCCTTGACCTTGGACTGTACGCGACCAGTGTTGACCAGCGTCTCCAACAGACCGCTGAGTATGCCGATGACCAGCGCCGCTTCGAGGGATTCTCTGAAAGCGATGAAGAAGATGGCAGGTGCGAAGACCTTGTTGCCGGTTGGTGACGACATTTTGCCTCTGCAAACGACGAAGAGGTGGGAATGTTGTTGGCCCAACACACGAGCAGAGCTGTTGATGGATGACGAGCGAGGTAAAGTTTGTCGCGACTCCTTGGATATTAAGATGCTGCTGGCGCGTGCTAGCTGAAGCTTCGAAGATGTGCAGCGCGCCGGGACTTAAGAAACGGCGATGAAAGTTGGAAGTGTCAAGGGCACAGGTCCGCTGCGAGAGCGCAAATTTCGCTCGCGGGGGGTTGCGAGCAACGAACCCAAAGACGAGGCTCGAGCTTGTTGATTGGTGTGCGCCCGCGCTGACGAGGGTATGCCGATCTAGCGCGCAGTCAAGTGGCCATGAGCCGAGAAGGTGGAGAAAAAAGTCAAGTCGCGTGATTATCAGCGAAATCAAAAGATCAGATGGTCGGTCGGTCGGTGGAGCTGAATGTTGTTCAGTCTCGGCGCGGTAGAATGCAGAGGCCCAATCGTGCAGATCAGCAGTAGTCGTGAGCAGTCGTGGGCAGCCGTGAGCAGTCGTGGGCAGTCGTGAGCAGCCCATCTCGTCTCCTTTTGTGGCTGATAAGAGGGTTTGTCATTGACCAGTGGAGATGAGATTGGCGGCGGATCGAAGCGCTTCTCGCCCCTCCTCCGCCGTTGTGAAGGTCTGGACCGCGGTAGGCAAAAGGAGTAAGAGAAAGCTGCGCTCTGCTTAGCGCAGCTCAGCAGAACACGACGAGCAGGATGAGAATGCGCTGCATGCACACCCACCTACACGATGTGGCATGCCTTTTGGTCCGCTTAAGCAAGCCGCCGGGCAAGATCGCTGCTGCTGCTGCTGCTGCTGCTGCTGCTGCTGCTGGGCTGCTGGTCCGCCCTCCCTGCCACAGATGCGCTGCACGTATAGCCCCCGACGGGGTTCCTGCGGCTGAAAGATGCATGGCAAAGTATAATAATATGTGCAGCGAGACCGTCGGAGTTGGATGCTCTCCATCAGATAAAGATCCAGCGGATTGCGGCGGACTCCAGAGCGGCAAAATTTCAATTCGATTGTAAAGTCGAGTAAGGGGTGGCATGGCGTGCACTCGACCTCTGTAGAGAGCCTTTCACGCACCCACGCACTCAGACATCACAGGCCGGACTGATGGTCGCAATGAAATCATATGTGTGCCGGGCACGAATTCTTGGTGACCCACGCGTTTGCGGGTGCGATACAAGCGCTACACGACGGTCATCTATCTATCCTTGTTTGCATAAAGCGGTTGAAAGTATCGTACACTTTGCTGGATCGAAATGGAATTGCAAGCAAGTCACGAGGCGCGTGTTTATGATCTCATGAAAAGGTGTCGAGGACGCAAAATGTCATCCCGCGCAAATGCCGGAACAGCCACCTCGGCAGCCCCAGCAGGACCAAGGTTGAGCTCCGACCTGTCTAAGGAGAAGCGTAACGATGCTAGCTGCTCCTTCGCCCAGCACAAAGCCGGCGCTCAGGACGAGCAAGAAGACTGGTGGAAGGTCGAAAGGTGAAGGTGCTTTGCCACCCCTTTTCTGCGCTTGTCGACGTTGATACCAGATGGATAGCAGACCACCCAGAAGTCGCGCTAGGGTGAAATTTGGCTGTCGGATCAAATGTACAACATGGTCAGCTATTGCATCAACGGGCCGAGCTTGCGCCACTCACTGTGTTCAGACCCAGACCAAGCGCAAAGGCTATACCGTTGGGAAGCCAAGCGACGATGGTCTCCCAGCGAGGCGGAAGCGGGGAGCGTGAGCGCCCCTGCAGTGCTCGTCTATATTCTCGCGCGTTTTGCCTTGCATTCACGACCGTCTTGAGGGCGCCAGTGGTGGCAAAGACAGCCGCAGTCGCAATCATGAATTCCTTGCTACGCGCAGGTAGTTGTCCACCATCATTGACGAGCCTTGCAAAATTGAGCCACAACCTAGCAGCTGGAGCTGGCATTTCGGGTCCTGGAATTGCGTACGAGGATTCGTACGCTTTGTATCCTATCGAAGACACGACTAGACCCACTGATCCGCCCACCAATTGTCCGACGAACTGCCCTCGAGGACTCGCACGAAGCAAATGCCCAGTCTTGAAGTCTTGCATCAGCTCGCCAGCATGCATCGCACTACCTTCGGCCAGCGCTCCGCCAACTAGGTTGGCTAGCACATGGTTGGGCGCGACGAAGGCAAACACCAGCTGGCTGAGCTGCAGATTTAGCGTGGCGTCAGCCGTACTTGGATGCGTGGGAGTTCGACAGTCGAGCGACAAGCCAAAATTCGATGCTCACCTTGCCTAGCGCGCTGACGGGGTTCAAATCTACAGTGCCCAAGGAGCGCACTGCCAAAACAGCAAGCACGGCAGCCACCAAGATCCCCAAGGCCACATGCAGAAAATCCACTCCTTGGCTACCAAAAAGATAGATCAAGATGGTTACTGCAGAGCCGGCGGACAGCACGGGGCCCACTAGTAGCCAAGAAGCTGGAATAAGCCTTGCTGCCGGCTCGTCCTCGTCATCAGATCTACGGCTCTGCGTCAAGTGCGCCGAGCTGCCGATGCCATTGACGCCTCGAGCCCCGCGAGCCTGAGGCCGCACTCTCCGAGGTTCGCTACCGCGCCAACTGAAGAGCAAGGCTAAGATCCCTACGAAGCTTTCGGAGGTCATGATCGCCAATGCTATCCAAAGCAGCCATGCTGGCAGAGGAAGAAAGTTGTGTCAACGCCTGACCTGCGACGTGCATTAGAGCTGGGCACGTACCTCGTGATCCGGTGTCAGCGTCTAGCGGCTCTCCCTTTGCCCACCCATAGTGATGCGCCAAAGGACTGAGGATGCCCCAGCCCAGGATTGCTCCGGCGAACATGGCCGCTGATGTTGGAAAACCCATGATGACTCCCTGACCGACGTAAGAGAGGGATGGTGTGAACCACCAACCCCAGACTTTTGCTAGATCGTGCGCTGGCACTAGAATGTCAAAGACGGGTAGAGCGTACACTACGGGAATAAAATAGGCTAGCAGCTGCAGTGACAGTGCGAGAGCGCAGCTTGGCTCAGTCCGAGAGAGCTGCGGTATTTGCTCGACTCGGCACACTCACAGTCACCCCGGCCGATAATAAGAATGAATACCACATTGGTCTCCAGCTCTCCTCGATTTCTTGAGAAGTTTGAGGCTCTTCAGTCTGGGTAGAAGGGGACTCATCTACTTCTGGCGCAGGTGCAGGGTCCGGCGTATCGCTCGTCCCCAACTCCTCGCGCTCCTCGTGAGAATTGACCGGCGCGTGCACCTGCCAGAGCAGCGGCCTGTGCTCGCCCGATTCGTCGGCCCGCACGTTGGGGTCCACACCTTCTAGCGACGCAGCTTCCTCATCTTGGCGTAGTTTGACGTTGTGAATGACACCGATGAGCTGTGCAGTCGCTGTTCCTGAAGGGAATCTGAGCTTTTCCTTCAGAACAAAGGTAACGCGCAGAGGGGCTGCAAAGAAGACGCCGAAGCTGGCAGAGGGAGGAGGAAGGATAGAGTGGAAATCGACTGAGTGAATGCGCTCGCTGGACGCGTCGAGCTTACTCACAATGCCAAGCTGCCGCTCCAAAGCATGAGCTCTGCCAAGGAGAACTTGAATGGCGAAGCTCCGCCGTCTCGCGCAGGGTCCAGCAGGGTGAACGCAGGCACAATGCCGATGAGGCCAGCAGCGAGGGGCATGGCTCCCGCGCTCACAGCTGTAGCCTGAAGCACGGCGTTCTCCTGCGGTGAGAAGGGACCGCTATGCAGTGAAGAGCCTGACGAGCCTATTCGAGAAGTGAGCCAGGTGGGAGGTGCAGGGAATACTTTGACGAGACCGTAGCCCACCAACGCGGCTTGAAGAGAGGCCATGGTGATCCATGATGACTGCAAGC